AAAAAAATCATCCTAACCAATCTAAACGTACCATTTACGCAAACAAATGGATACTCACTTAATTCCTTCATCTTCCACGTACACTTTCTTCGTAATGAGTAAATTATAGTCGAATAGTCTACTACCAGAAACGAATCAATCATCTGAAAATTCGAGTGGACAACACTGTACATGGATTCGATGACTAAATCACATTACCATCCCCGTCGTATTCATACTTTTCTTCGTCATTGTCAATCCTCAAAATTATCTCATCAATAGAACTCCGCGATTGTCTCCTCATGCATGCATACAACATGCATCTAAACAGATAACAATTAGCGCCTTTTTTCGACAACGAATAACTGGCATAAGGGTAAGATTCGCTGACAAGCACACAGGAAAGTGTTCGATGGAGTAAATACCGCAGCCAGACATAGCAACATTCTTTAAAAAGTTTTTCGAAATATACGATATGAAAATTGACGAGGTATTTTTACTTTTCAGCGGGAACAACTTTCAACTTTCTATTTTTTTCTGCTATTTCCACACTAGATGAGAGCTTTCACATTATGTGAACTTCTTCCACAATTCACACATGTGCAACTGCGTACTTTGTCGCAGATGTTCGCAAGGACCACCCTCTTTCAAATTCATATAGTTCCCTATTCTTCCCACCACTAAACTGCAACAAACTTCACTTTGAAAACTTACGCCCCGTTGTCTAGAAAACTCTAGAAATTATATACGTGCACTTCAATTAAAAACACACATGCAATCAGTCATTAATCATGCAGAAAAGGGAAGGAACACGGATGCTGTGTAGGAATAGGAAGGAATGCTTTCTATCATACCATATTCGCACAGTACCTAGATACCACATCCGTGTAAGCTTCTAAAACTGCTTTTGTTTGTCCTATTTCATCATACGATTGGTCACTGATGAACAACTTGTAGGAGGAAACACGGGGTTCAAATGGGAAGTGGTACAAAGAAATTCGCAAGCACTCAAATTTCACCAGCAATCCTAAACGTTATGGTTTTCTTTGCACCCGAATGATTGCGCAAATTCTAACCTTCAGGCAATCATTTCTTCATACACAACATTTCTTATCCTCAAAGGCTGGCGCACCTTACGACGAGAATTGGTAGTTATACGCACAAGATCCCTCGAACGCGCTCTCGACAGCGCAACATAAGTGCTCCCGTGAGCAAATGAAGGTGTCCGCATGATAATTCCAACTTTATCGAATGTCTGACCTTGACTTTTATTGATTGTCATGCAATATGACAATCTAATTGGGAACTGAAACCTTCGAAAAGCGATTCCAGTATTTTCGTCCGCAAAATCTAATGGTATTCTTGTGATATAAGTATTCCTTCCTGTTAGCAAGTTTCTGCAGCGAAGCATGCGCTGATCAGCCATAATCGATAAAATTTCAAGCCGAGTTCCATTGCACATGCGTTCTTGAACATCTATGTTACGCAGTAGCATCACTATGGCTCCGCACTTCACCTTCAATTTATACTCAGGCATACCAGGCGGAGTAAGATGATGTATAAATTCCTCGTCATCACATGGCATCCCGACAAGATCTTCGTCTTCAGATGCCGGAGTATCGACAGCAAAGAACTCCACACATTCACCTGGTACTATGTTCAACACCTTCAGATTAAGCTCCAGAGCATCACAATTACGAACGGTTAAAAGTGCCATATTACCGATAAGGTCAGTTGAATGAATGACCTCATCAGTGTACATCCATGTAATGACGTCTTCTTCACTCTCCATGCACATCTCAATTGGTACTTCAATATCAACACCGTCGGGAGTGAAATTCCTCCCTTCTCCTACCGCCTGCAGCCAAGCTGCATGCTCTTCTTCACCCGGTCGAAGTCGCATGTTTTCATCGAGCACGTAAACCTGCATATCACTCCACAATTCACTTGACTTCAATGTCTCATTGATTATGTCCATTTTCGATCCTCCTGGGACTACTGGAAGAAATTGACACCAGTCTCCTCCGAAAACCATAACGACACCACCAAAGCGAAGGTTTCTGTTCTCGGGAGCGGCCAGATCACGAAGCAGTCTATCGACACATTCCACAGCATAGCGAGTCTGCATTGATATTTCATCCCATACAATAACGTCGACTTCACGCAACATCTTCCCTTTATCAGAAGAAGCATCTACTCCAGCCACAGAATCACCACGCAGTCCTTTGAGCGGCAAAGAAAAAGTGCTGTGCGCAGTGCGCCCATCCTCCAAAAGAGTAGCAGCTATCCCAGTCGATGCAACAGCAATGACCGATAAACCATCATTTCGCAGCGACCGAATCAAGGTGTTGAACGTGAATGTTTTACCGCATCCTGCTTTACCGTAAACAAAAAACAAGCGATTTCCGTTCGTTTTCCTCGTCTTTGCCACATTCATTACATCCGTGACAATTCTTCGTTGCTTCTCATTCAAATTTTCCACTCGATTGTCATACTCGGCACGATTGTCATCCCAGTCTCCATCTTCAGAAATGTCGCTAGAAGATGCTGAATTATTGATGAGCTCGTTATAAATATCATCAAGACCACAGTCAGCCATAGTCATCCCATTTGCTGTGATTATACCTTTGATACACTTAATCGTTTTCAAATCTTCCTCCGCATAAGAATCGCAACGCCTATTTGAACGCATCTCTACCTTGAACTCATGCCATAACTCCGCTGTATTTGATGGTTTGCAGTAAAGAACAATATGCGCAAAAACCCGTCTCACTTCTGATGGCATGCCTGTTTCTGAGACAGCAC